ATTTTGTCCAGAAATGAAACCAGGTGTGACAATTTCAGCAACAATTAGCATTATTAAACTTTTGCCCGAGTGAGGAACGTAACTCAACTGCACTCCGGCTCCAAGGCTAAAAATAACTGTTGAATGACGATATATAGATGGGATCTGATGTTGAAGCCAGATACTAAACAAGTAGTGATAAGATGATGGAAAACCACAGACTTTAAAACATACCGAATGTTTGATATGAGTGTAACAAACAAGTGGTTGTTATAGATCACAAAAGAATTTGAAACTGCTCAAAATTATGCAGAATTATTGTAGGCCATATAAAAATGAGAAGAAAAGAGGCTTGTGACCACATTTTGATGACTATTTTATGCCTTCAGAGATTAAATAAAAAGAAAGAAAGGAGGATCACATATGCTGACTCTGGCTTTTTGTCCATAAGTTATACAGCTGTGAAGAAAGACTGACTGGACAACGTAGCTACATCATTTCTCAAAAAAGGGGAGATTTTGCAGCGTTTGGCCATATTTAGCCAATTTGCCATACAGAAGAAATGACGTTTCCCATAATCACTGTGAATATAAATGGATGCTTTTGTTTTCATTTCATTTTGTTTTTTGTGCGTTCCTTATTGTGTTTTTTGTTGTTGTTGTTTTTTCCTTTTTGAATTTTGGGGACTCGCTAAACTCAGCATTCTGTCAGAATTCATCAAGCACAAATAAGCTGTTGTGATTCGGCGCGATATGAATAAAATTGAATTGAATTTACAAATAAGAAAGTTGGTTTTCAAGCAGCCCTTTCTTGAGATGAATTTCAAACCTCAGCAACCGTAAAATGGAGACGGAAAGTAGATGTGCTTGTAAATCCAGTGGAAGAACCTGCTCACTCCACCTAAACCATGAAGAAAACAGACACTTTTATCAAAGTTAGGTCTGATTATCACTATTGCCTTTGGTGGGGTGTTGTGATGGTGTTAGGTTGAATGGAAAATACCTGGTGCTGGTGGTGACAGACTTGAAACATTCAAATCTTCCTTAGTTTTTGTTATAAAAGCACAAATTTAATATATAATTCCAAAAGTTTTATATATATATATATATTTTTAAATAGATCAATAATTAGTAAAAGCCTAGGGCAGTATTTTTATCATTAACAAAAAGAAAACTGCAACGAAACTTAACCTGAAAAAAGAAAAGGGCTGAAAAAGTTGATAAAAAGCTGATTAAAAAAAAAAACTTTACCGAAAGGAGTAAGCGGCCGCTTTCAGAACCACACTGCTCAATTGCTGTCAAAGCAAAAGGCTCTTTGGCCTGGCCGTCTCTTCTCCCCCAGTCTAAACACCTCTGTGGCTGATTGACTGAGTGCACTCAGCTGTGCACAGGACACTGGCTCCACAGGAGCAGATGCAGTACCTGAAACAGGATGTAGAGAGAGCGCAACACCAGCGGCGACTCACAATAGATCTGCGGTGATGTAACAACCAAAATCACATCTTAAGAGCTTTATTCTTTATTTTTTACAAACCACTTTACTTCAACAAATTGTAAAGTTGAAGAATGATGCTTTACAATTGGCAAGCTCTCACGGCTCCTTGCACTATTATAACTTGTGAAGCAGTTTTGGAATTCAAAACCCAGGCGTGTGAGAGTGAGTGTTTGGACCCACTGTGCACTGTCTTCAACTGATGCTGGGATAAGCACTGTGTTTTTGTTGTTGTTTGTTTTTTCTTGTGTTTCTTTCTTTTTTCTGCCATTGTAGGAAAAAATGTTCAAATATTTCCCATGTTGTTAGTGAAAACTTCTTACTTTTTTGCTGCCGTTCAACAGTGTGCTGATAGATCAGTAAACTGCACCAGTACTCAAAAAGGTTGTGAGTTCAATTCTTCCCTGAGGCAAGAGTGATGTCTGGATAAGCAGTGTAATCTTTTTACACTGATACCATAAATATTAGACTTATTTTAATATATGCATGTGCTGTATGTGCTGCTTCAGTCATATGCTAAAGTCGTTATTAGCGTGAGAAGTATGGGTAGTTACAGCCTCCCTTGTGCAGGCTGCGACTCGTACGGGGATTGCAGTCATCCTGAATGTGAGAAATTTGGCTTGAGGTTGAATTCTTGGGAACAGAATCATCAAGTTTTCACGATGATGTAACCAATTATTTGACTGCACAGCAACATTACTTTCCCGAAGCGTCATCACCTGCCAAGATGCATATTAATGCCCCCCCCTTGTTTGTGAGTACATTTTTAATGGTAAATCATGTGTATTGATTCCCCTCAGGCTGGGCCCAGCGGCGTCTTCTTTCCATGGACACAGAGGACTTTGAGACGATTCCCTCCAGCGCAGAGGAATCCTCCAACTCTTCAGACGAGGAAGGCAACAATAAAAATGTAGGCAACACTTAAGTCTGCTGCCCACATCAGCTAAAAAATGTAAAGAAGTGAAGCTCAGATATGATTTGCTACATCACTGGATCATTTTGAAACTTTATTTAAGAGTGAAACTTAGTAAAACAGAATGTTGCAAATGATTTTGTCCAGAAATGAAACCAGGTGTGACAATTTCAGCAACAATTAGCATTATTAAACTTTTGCCCGAGTGAGGAACGTAACTCAACTGCACTCATTCGACTCCAGCTGAATCATGTCAGCTGTCAGATAAATCATGACATTTTATGATCACGAACCATCCCCCAACTGCTATACACTCATCTCTCATTGCCTCTTCACCTATTCTTCATTTTCTCTTCTTTTTCACTAAATCTCATTTCAATCCCCCTAAAGGAGGACCCCTCCACAGCTTAATTATTTCCCATGTTCTCCCTTCTTGTTAGCAGCAGGCACTGACCACTTGACATTTAGGAAATGAGGGAAAGATGAAAAAGGGGTAGGATTTTAACTGCACATGTCTGCCGAATATGGCAGCATTTCCACATCCATTATAATCTGTGTGACGTACACGCACGTGCACACTATCGACACGAGGACTGAGCACGTTAGTGATGCAGGGAATGTAGCAGCTTAGAACATACATTTGTAAGACACTTTATTAGGTACTTAGCTAGATGTAGGATGGACTACATTTTCCCGTCAGTACTTCACAGTTGCTGCACATTTGTCAGGTGCATGTCCATGATGTGAATCTCCCGTTCCACCATATCCCAAATGTGATCTGCTAGATTGAGATTTGGTAAATGTGGAGGCCATTTGAGTACAGTGAACTCATTGTCAGCTTCAACAAACCACTTTGAGATGATCTGAGCTTTTATGACGTGGTGTGTTATCCCGCTGGAAACAGCCATCAGATGATGGGTAAACTGTGGTCATAAAGGGATGGACAAGATCAGCAACAGTACTCAAGTGGGCCGTTGCACTTAAATGATGATTCTCAGCAGGTAATAATGGGGCCCAAAATGTGCCAAGAAATCAGCCCTCATTCCATTACACCACAACCACCAGCCTAAACTGTTGATACATGGAACCATAATGTCTAAAGCATGGATCTTTCTGCTCAGGTCCTGCCAGCTAAATGCTGTAGCACAAAATCAAGACTACTCAGATTTGGTGTTTTTCAGATCTTCTGTTGTCCATTTGTAAATTGCCTGTGTAAATTGTAGTGTCAGTTTCCTGCCTTTAGTTGACAGTAGTGGTTTTCTGTTGCTGTAGCTCATCTATTTCGAAGTTCAGTGTGTTGTGTATTCAAACAAGCTCTTTTCATACCTTGGTTGTAATAGTTACCTAACACACTGTTGCTTTCTTATCAGCTTAAAGCAGTCGGAGCATTCTCCTTTGACCTCTGACATTAACAAGGCATTTTCACCCAGAGAACTGCTGCTAACTGGATATTTCTCTCTTTTTCAGACCATTCTCTGTAAACCCTAGAGGAAGTTGTGTGATTAAAATCCCACTAGATCAGCAGTTTCTGAAATACTAAGACCAGCCCGTTAACAACCATGCCACATTCAAAGCCGCCTAAATCACCTTTCTTTCCCATTCTGACACTTGGTCAGATCACATCATGTTGATCTTGTTTTGGGTTGCTGCCATGTGATTGGTATATTAACAAGCAGTTAAACAGATGTACTTGACAAAGTGGAGAGTATGTTTGCATCATGCAGTCAATCACAATTTAAATTGTGTTCACTACTAAATAATCCCACATGTGGATGCAACTCAGATAAGACAAAGAAAAAATTGGGACATTCAATCCCTGTGGTGTGCATGTACCTAAAGACCCTATAAATCTTATAATCATTAACTTATTTATTACTATCTAATACTACAAGAATAGCAAAATAAATGAAGTCCAATGTCTTGTCATTGGTAAATTTAAATGCTTTTATCTGCTGTCTTTGTTTCAATTTGTAGGGTATTGTTTATTACTCAGCAGTTAGTGTAATGCTTTGTGGATTTCCAGAATGACTGGCTAAAGTAGAACAGTACCATAGTACAGTAGAAGAACTTTAAGCAGTAGCTTAAAGTCTTGGGATTGGCTAAATGTTGAATTTGAAAACCATTTCTTTCTGCAGGGTGACAGCAGCCGTTTCCGAGTACAGCTAACATACGAGTCTCGTGATCCGCAAGACCTCTCTCTGGAGACAGGTGATCTCGTCCAGTTTGTGGAGGAAGCAAAGAATGGAAACTGGTAGGTTTTTGTTTGTTGGCTGAACCACAGGATTATTTAGAATGCTCCACCCCCCACCTGCCATCCATTGATTGGCTGCTGTATACCCTCCACACAGCCCTCCCTTCAAGTTTTTAAATTTCTGTTTTTAAGATATTGTATTCCTAAATAAAACTGAGCAAACATTACAGGGAATTTTACAGCATATACCTTTAGGGCATTCATGTTGCGAAAAAAAAAAGAAAAGAAATTGCTTGGAGAATATTTAAATATTTTATTACTGAGAGACCTAAACAGTGATATACAAAAAGTGTTGAAAGCAGTATTTTGCATAATTGTGTGGCAACACATTTTTAGGTAATTTATGAGGTGTGATCAAAAAGTTCTGGGAATGAGTCTCTCAGCAGGTGGCAAGCAAAGATTGTGTTGATGTGACTGGAAAACCTTTCAGAATATACTGTGCCAGCTCACTATCACACTCTGGCAAGCACCAGTGTTCTGGTCAGTTTCTCCCTCAAGCGTTATGAGGGTACAGTAGAAGTCCATGTTGACAGCCTCAACCTGAAAGATTAATTCATGGTGCACAATCCAGTGAATGTCGCAAAAATAATGAGCGCTGCCTGCTCTCCGTCCTCACCCGAAGCACTGCCTCAGGGCTTGGAAACTGTGGACTCTTCCATTGAAACCTCAGTTGTAACTGGAGACCCAGTTCTCATTACCAGTAATGAGCCTCCACACGAAATTCATGCAAGTTTGTAAGAAAAGTTAACATTGTGTTACTGCGTATGTTTGAGGATTGCAGTAAAACCACAGAGTGGAACTTGGCCAGTGCAAAGAATCAAATCCCTTATATAGATCCAAATGTGGCCTCCTTCATGACATTGAAGGGGCCACATTTAAATAGGGCAGGTTTTTTTTATTTTTAAAGGCCAGTTATTGAAACCTTTTGTTCACACACAAAAAAGACTGCACGTTGAGCTACAACACCTTAGCTCATAAAGACATGCCATACCCCCAAAACTCACACTTGGACACCTTAGAATAAAGACCAGATGTCCATCCCTTGTTGCTTAGAGCCTCTAATTTGGTTGTTTAACCAACTTTTGAGAAACTACATTTTCAACCAGTTTCAGCAGAGGTGGACTGTTGGTTTCAAAAAGGTTCAGGCCTTAGCTTTTAAAAGTTAGTACCTGAGTCACGGACACCATGACATTCCCCAGCACCCTTATTAACCACCTCCAGTCGCTAGAAGCTTAGTTTATACTCTGTTTTCAACACAGACAGAAGACCTGATGGCCCAGCAGCCATTCTTTGTATATTTTCTTGAAGTCCATTTGAACTCCAGTGCCTGGGGCGCAGGCATAGTTTGTGCATTGTAATTTAAATTCTCAGTAGAAAAGTCAGTGCAGTCACAAAAAAGCCAGACAGGCAGACTGCCTGCACAGACCCTCACACTTGTTGTCTGATGATTAAATTTAGGTCGTTTGGACATGAGCACAGTTAGGTGGACTTGTGGACATAGTATATACAGTATAATGTAGACTTCAAAGGTATTTTCTGGGATAGCACAATAGGTCATACAGTAGCGGTATCAATGTTTCTCCAGAAATGTATTGTTTGCCTCATTGCTATTTAGCCTGCACTAATCATCCAGCTATCAGTTCTTTAAAAATGGAACCATTCTGTGTCCTTTTATTCATGCATATCTGACACCAAAATCATGTGCTTGATTGAAATAGTTTTTGTACCAACGGATTTCTATGGAGCTATTTTGTTAATTGTAATTATGAAATTACCAATCATTTCTGACAGTGAGTCTTTGTGTCACCCTCATCATTGTTTGTCTTTTGTCTGTTCAGAAAGCATCAGCACAAAGACCAGTAAGTGTTAAAGAAAATGGAAAAAAAGCTGTTAACAGCCTGGTGCAAAAGCTGTTCTGCGCAGTGGGAGTCTTTTGTAAAATAACCCATGAACTTGGGTACTTTTATGGCTTGAAGTTGGGCTATGGTTGCTTTGATTAACACTGAGCCTACCAGGTTTCATTATGTCTTTGCAGCAGTAAGGTAATAGCAGTCTACTCAGCCTACAACATAGTGGATGAGTCCTACTACCATCACCATGGGAGTGACAACAGGCAGCGGCCACTTTATGGGCTGATAGCATTTGAAAGAGGGAAAAAGAGCAGAATCAGATAAGCTGAATCTATCCTTACTGACAAAATGCCAAGGAAAAAAGAAAATAAACCTTTCAGAAAGGCAATATTCCCTTGCATAGCCCATGTGTTTGAGTGTATGACATTGAATTATTGTTATTGTTGATCTTGTGTATTTTTGCATAAGAATTTTGCAGTTCCACTGCTATCTGTAATCATTACCCACACCATGGCTTCCCTGTTTAAAACTACCTTCAATTCAACCACATTAATCAAACAAGCTCAAGAGAGACTTGTGCAATGGGATGCTTCTTTGCTGCCCTGTTCTATCTTCACAAGGATTAAAGGCTGAGAGCGACTCATAAGGAATTAAAATTTCATTGACTGTAACTTTATCCTGATGAAGCAGTAGGAACACAACAAAACGTGTGACTGTTGCTAAATCAAGGAAGGTTGCAGAAAACAATGGCTTCAGATTAATAATAAATCACTGTTTGATTCACCTCACCAACACCATCTTTGCTTTTGACCTGACAAGGAAGCAGCAGCTACTGCCTGCTTGGATGAGCAGCCTCTAGAAAGTGAGCTGAAAGAATGTTTTGAGCTCATGCAAGCTCCTCTGCATTAGAAAGTGATTAATAGTCTACGAGATAAAAGCTCAACTTGCTTTAAATATGCTCATTTTTCATCACCTCATGAATATTTCAGCCCTTAAAACAGTCTCCTGTCGACTCCATCTATGGATTTTTGCCGCTAAAAGGTCTCAGTCACTCATTCTCATCTCTGCTCTACGCTTGAGGAACATGAAGAATTCATAAGTTTTCTCTTTTCATTGGTTCTATTGCTGCCATATAGAACACAACTGGCACAAAAAGGACTACTGCAGTGTCATATAAAACTCGATGTGTCCTGTATGCTAATATATGTCCATTCATTTGTGTATGTCTTTGTTTACCTGCTGCACGCTTTTTTGTGTATTTAGATCGACCACTGTGCATTTGTGTTGTTATGATTGTGTATGCACTGCTAAAGTCAGTTTTTCCAACAGAAGCAGTACCATGCTTACTAACATACCACCCCACCCCCCCATGAGTGCCTTGCACCTTTCCAGATTTAGGCTTTCACTTCACGTCTGCACCACACGCAGTGTTCCTGTCCCTGTTCCTGTGGGTTTGTGTGGTATATTTGTCTAAAGGCTAGACAGCACGCCCAGCCACACCCTGTCAACACTAATTTACATATGAGAGGAATAAACAGAGA